TATTATTGCAGAGCAACCTACTTGAAGGGGAAATTCCAAGTGAATTAGGATCACTGAGTAATTTAGAGGACCTGGAGTTGTATACAAACCGGTTGACTGGAGAGATTCCGATAAGCATTTGGAAGATTCCAGCCCTTAAATACCTCTTGGTTTATCAGAATAATTTGTTAGGGGAATTGCCTTTTGAGATGACTGAGCTCCATCATCTGGAAAACGTTTCCTTGTTCAGTAACCATTTTTCTGGAGCGATACCCTATAGCTTGGGGATTAACAGTAGCTTGGTACAGTTGGAATTAACTAACAATTCTTTCTCTGGTGAAATCCCACCAAATCTTTGCTTTGGAAAACGATTGAGGGTTTTGAATATGGGTGTAAATCTACTTCAAGGTAGCATACCTTCAGATGTTGGAAGCTGTTCATCCTTGAAAAGATTGATTCTTAAACATAACCATCTCACTGGCCCCCTTCCTGATTTTGTGCAAAACTCAAACCTCTCATTCATGGACATTAGCGGTAATAACATAAATGGAACAATTCCTTCAAGCTTGGGWAACTGTAGCAATCTTGAGACAATCAATTTGTCCATGAATAATCTCACAGGACCCATACCCCAACAAATAGGAAACCTTGTGAACCTGAAACTTTTGAATCTTTCTCATAACAATTTGCTCGGTCCCTTACCTCCAGAAATCTCAAATTGTTACAAGTTGTTGAAACTGGATCTAGGATTCAACTCAATAAATGGTCCAATTCCATTGACTATAAGGAACTTGACACGATTGTCCAATTTGATTTTGAGAGAGAATCTCTTCAGTGAGGGTATTCCAGATTTCTTTTCAGCATTCAGTAGCCTTCTAGAGCTACAACTTGGGGGAAATATACTTGGTGGTGAAATTCCTCCATCAATTGGATTATTGCAGGACTTAGATATTGCTTTGAATCTCAGTGGTAATGGGTTGACAGGAGAAATTCCATCAGGGATGGGGACATTGAGGAAGCTGATAAGATTGGATATATCTTGGAACAATCTGACAGGAAATCTATCAGAACTTGGTGCCCTTGGTGC